TCCTCCCACCCCAGCCTCCTGAGTAGCTGGAACTACAGGCACACTCCACCACACCTGCCTGATTTCTATTTGTATTTTTAGTAGAGATGGAATCTTGCTATGTTGCCCAGGCTGGTCTTGGACTCCTGAGCTCAATCAGTCCTACATACCTTGGCCTCCCAAAGTGCTGCGAGCCACCGCACCCTGTATAGTCTTAAAGTACCACCCTCCGTCTTGGATTTAGCACTTCATCTGTACCTTTTTACTGTTGATTGCACAGGCTAAGTGCTATCCTGTCTCAAGCAACATTCTTGCTGTGACCACTACTTGTTACCTTCTCTCCCCGGATATTTGCCTTTAATTCAGGACTGCCCTTAATTCAGGACTTGCTCAAATGTTATTTTTTTCTGACAGGACTTTACTGACCATACTTTTAAGAGTAGTCTCTTCCCCTACCCTAACACCACTCTGACCCATTTTAATGTCTAATTTTTTTAATGATATTTACAAATACATAACATACATATATACCCACATACATATACAATTTGGTTGTTTCTTTTTTCTTTTTTGGAGATAGAGTCTTGCCTTGTCACCTAGGCTAGAGTGCAGTGATACAATCATGCTCACTTCGGCCTTTACATAGACCCAAATGATGCTCACGCCTCAGCCTCCCGAGTAGCTGGCACTTTGTTTGGTTTTGAGACATGGTCTCGCTCTGTTCCCCAGACTGGAATTCAGTGGCATGATCTCGGCTCACTGTAGCCTTGACCTCCTGAGCTCAAGTGATCCTCCCACCTCAGCCTTCTAGGTCTCTGGGACCACAGGTGCATGCCACCATCCTGTGATAATTTTGTATTTTTTGTAGAGATGGGGTTTTGCCATGTTGCCCAGGCTAGTCTTGAACTCTTGTGTTTTTTGTGGACATGGGGTTTTGCCATATTGCCCAGGCTGGTTTTGAACTCTTGCCCATCTTGGCCTCCCAAAGTGCTGGAATTACAGGTGTGAGCCATCATGCCCCCAGCCTGATTTCTGAGTTTTTAACTCAATAAAGGGAATGATGACATCTTTATTATAAATATGGACTATAAGAAGAGAAGTAAGGTAGATTAGAAGGAAGGATATTCCGTCACTTTCCCGTAACTCACCAGACAGAAGAAAGAACAACCTTCTAGGAAGGGGGAAGAAATCAGAACTATCTAGTTTGAGACCTTGATCCTATTCTTGAAGTCAGCCATGTTTTAACATTCTTGTTACTGGGCCTCTTCTCTGTTTGAGAGCAATTGCTTCTCCAGATTTCTCCAGTTACTATATTATCCTTGTATTCACTGTCAAATTACTTGTATTTCTTACAATACTAGGTAGGTGCTTCAAAACTGAATGATTTCAAAAGAGTCTTCACTTGACCTCTTCAATGAGATGGAAGTTCTTATTGCTTCTAGTCTTCTTTCTGTATTGTTGGATTATCTAATTCAGAGTTTTAAAAAACATTACATAGGGGTGAACAGGTCTTGGACCTCTGGCTGATTGATGTCTCCTGTGACAGAAGGCAAACTACAAAGGAGCTCTTCTTCACATGTAAGAATGGGTGATGATTTCAGCACTTACTGATTATAAATATCTTAAGGACTTATGTTCCGGGACCATTCCAGAGACATCTCTCTCTCCTTTTTATCTCCCACTTTCTGACTTGATAAGGGGACTATAGTGAATATAGTGACTAACTTTTACATATTTTATCAATGTGAAAAGTTTATCAGGTGCCACTAATTTTATTAGTGCCTTCAGTAGAAAAGGGCATCCGTTTTCTATGAAGGGACACTATATCAAAGGCAAGTCATAATTACACACAAACACACACACACTCTCTCTCTCTTTCTCTCTCTCTCTCTCTTTCTTTTTGGTTAGTTGGTTTATTTATTAGAGGTGGGATCTCTCTATGTTGCCCAGGCCAATCTTGAACTCTTGGGTGCAAGTGATCCTTCCACCTCTGCTTCCCAAAGTGCTGGGATTACAGGTGTGCACCACCATGCTCAGTAGACATTTTTAGAAAAAGGAATCCATTGTGTTCAGCTTATTTGTTTTAAGTTTTTTAATCTTAAAGTTCTAAATGTTTTAGTTTTTAAATATAAAAAAATTGAGAATATTTAAGCATACAGAAAAATAGGGTAGTACAAGCAACAGCTATGTAACTACCATCTTGTCAGCAGTGAATATTTTGCCTTATTTGCTTGGCACATATCAGTATGCTATTGATATATAGCATAAACATTTTTTCTAAACCACTTCTAAGTAAGTTTTAGACTTTTACCTCTAAATACTTAAGATTGCTGTGGTAGGCAAAATAATGCCCCTTCTCCCAAGATGTCTACACCCCAGCCCCCATAACCTGTGAATATGTTCCATTTCATGGCAACAGAGAATTAAGATAGTAGATGGAGGCCGGGCGCCGTGGCTCATGCCTGTAATCCCAGCACTTTGGGAGGCCGAGGCGGGTGGATCACGAGGTCAGGAGATTGAGACCATCCTGGCTAACATAGTGAAACCCCGTCTCTACTAAAAAAAATGCAAAAAATTAGCCAGGCGTGGCGGTGGGCACCTGTAGTCCCAGCTACTTGGGAGGCTGAGGCAGGAGAATGGCGTGAACCCAGGAGGCGGAGCTTGCAGTGAGCCAAGATCGCACCACTGCACTCCAGCCTGGGCGACTGTGTGAGACTCTTGTCTAAAAAAAAAAAAAAAAAAAAAAAAAAAGATAGTAGACGGAATTAGGGTTACTAATCAGTTGACCTTAAAATATGGAAATTAGTCTAGATTATCCAGGTGGGCCCAATATAATCATAAGGGTCCTAAAATGGAAAAGGGGAGCAGAAGAGTGTCAGCGAGATGGCAGTCAGAGGAGTAGGCTTGAGATTTGAAGATGAAGGAAGTGGCCATGAACCCAGCAAAGTAGATTGTCTCTAGCAGGTAACAGCAAGACAATGGATTTTCCTCTAGAAACTCCAGAAGGAAATGTAGGAGCTGACTAGGCACGGTGACTCATGCCTGTAATCCCAGCACTTTGGGAGGCCAAGGCAGGTGGATCACTTGAGGCCAGGAGTTCGAGACCAACCTGGGCAACATGGCGAAATCCCATCTCTACAAAAAATACAAAAATTACAAAAATTAGCTGGGCGTGGTGATGCACACCTGTAATCCTAGCTACTTCCAGTCCCCAGAGGCTGAGGTGGGAGAATCGCTTGAGCTGCAGAAGGCAGAGGTTGCAGTGAGCCAAGATCGTGCCACTGCACTCCAGCCCAGGTGACAGAGCCAGATTCTATCTAAAAAATAAATAAATAAATAAGTAGGAGCCATACCCATGCCTTGAATTTAGCGTAATGAGACCCGTTTTAGACTTAATGACTTTCTGAGTGAAAGGTAATAACGTTTGTATTGTGTTTAAGCCACTAAATTTGTGGTAATTTATTATAGCAGCCATAGAAAATTAATAGTAGACTGGGCTCGTGCCTGTAATCCCAGCACTTTGGGAGGTGGAAGGTGGGTGGATCACTAGAGGTCAGGAGTTTGAGACCTACCTGACCAACATAGGAAAATCCTGTCTCTACTAAAAATACAAAAATTAGCCAGGCGTGGGGACACATGTCTGTAATCCTGGCTACTCGGGAGGCTGAGGTAGGAGAATCACTTGAACCCAGGAGGCAGAAGTTACAGTGAGCCAAGATCTTGCCAGTGCACTTCAGTCTGGGCAACAGAGCAAGACTGTGTCTCGGGGAAAAAAAAAAAAAGAAAAGAAAAAAGAAAACTACTGGTACAGTTACATCTCAAAAAAAATACGGACAATCTCCTGTTCAACCACAATACTATTATAACCAACAAGATTAATAATAATTCCCTAATATTATTTAATACTAAGTCCATTTGAAAATTTACCCAGTTCCCCATAATATCTTTTGTAGTTGTGTTTAAACCAAGATTCAATCAAAGATTATACATTATATTTGGTTATGTCTCTTAAGTCTCTCAACCTAGGACATTCTGTATCACCACCTTTTTTTTTTTGATATCACCTGTTTTGAAGAGACAACGCTTATTGATTTGAAATAGGTTCCATATTGTAGATTTGTCAGATTGTTTCCATGTTGTCTCAGTGCCTGCAGTGAAAAGTTTGATCCCTAGGGTAAGGTAACAACAAGATTGTTCCATTGTTAAGATGTGTTTTTCCTTTTGCATTTAATCGTCTGTGGAGTTATTTTATTTAAACTGAACTAGTTCTTATGAAAATAAATGTTAAACTTCCAGACCAGCATATTTTATAATGCCAGGATAACAGACCATATAACCTAAAACCCTTATGCTATTCCATTACAAAACACCTAGTAATGCTGGATGAAATGTAACAACTATTTTTAAATTTTTAAACAAATGTTTAAAAATGCATAGCTAGCTAAGCCTGAAAGAATTAAGGAAAATTCTCAGGGACTGCAGATGAAAGAGGAACTGAAAATGAGCAGTATGCATGTGACTTAATGCTGTGGTATTTCTGGGTGCTTTGCCTAGTCTCAGTTACCTAAAGGCTTGGTTTTAATGTCCATGAGCCTTAGGCCTGTATGGAACAGAGTTAGAAATGCAAATCTGTATATAAAGCAGGGAGCCTTAAAGGTTCATACTCAAGAGAAAGGAAGGGACCACAGAAAATTCCATCTACTGTTTGAGGAAACAAGGAAACTTTTGTGTCTCAGCCTGGACTCTGGCTGGGGGTAGATGGGAATGTCTCCTGAAAATTTATGTTTGGACTCAAGAATACACAATAAGGAAAGGATCAATAGGGCAAGGATGGTCCCTCCAACAAATGGTGCTGGGAAAACTGGATATCCACAGCAAAATAATGAAATTTATCTTGTACTGTACACAAAAATCAACTCAAAATGGATTAAAGAGTTAAACATAAGACCTGAAACTATAAAACTCATAAGAAGAAAACAGGGAAAAAGCATTATGACATTGGTCTTGGCGATGATTTCGTGGATATGACATCAAAAACACAGGCAACAAAAGCAAGTGGAACTGCATCAACCTAAAAAGCTTCTGCATGGCAAAGGAAACGGCAGAATGGACAGGCAGTCTACAAAATGCGAGGAAATGTTTGTGAACCATGTATTTGATAAGGGGTTAATCTCCAACATATGTAAAAAACTCATACAACTCAGTAGCAAAAAAAAAAAAAAAAAGGGCCTAAAAATAGGCCCTTTGCTGCCGTCCGTCAATTTATTTCTCCAGGAAGAAAAATGGCATCTGTTGCAGTTGATCCACACCACCCAAGTGTCGTGACTTGGGTGGTCAACCTGCCCTTGGTGAGTTCCATGTATGACCCCATGTCCTCAGCCCATGTCAGTACAAAGGGCCAGTGTCCCTACTTGAAGTCTGTGTGTGAGATGGCAAAGAAGGGCGTGAAGACCATCACCTCGGTGGCCATGTCCATTGCTCTGCCCATCATCCGGAAGCTAGAGCTGCAGATTGCAGTTTTGCCAATATCTATGCCTGTAAGGAGCTAGACAGGATTGAGGAAAGACTGCTTATTCTGAATCAGCCATCAGCTCAGGTTGTTGCCAATGCCAAAGGTGCTGTGACGACTACTGTAACTGGGGCCAAGGATTCATCACAGGGGTTATGGACAGGACCAAAGGGGTAGTGACTGGCACTGTGGAGAAGACCAAGTCTGTGTCAGTAGCAGCATTAACACAGGCTTGGGAAGTCAGATGATGCAGCTCGTGAGCAGTGGCATAGAAAATGCACCACCAAATCAGAGCTCTTGGTAGGACAGTACCTCCCTCTCACTGAGGAAGAGCTAGAAAAAGAAGCAAAAAAAGTTGAAGGATATGATACGGTTCAGAAGCCAAGTTGTTACGTTAGACTGGGATCCCTGTCTACCAAGCTTTACTCTGTGTCTACCAAACTTCACTTCCTACCAGCAGGCTCTCAGCAGGGTTAAAGAAGCTAAGCAGAAAAGCCAAGAGACCATTTCTCAGCTCCATTCTACTGTTCACTTGATTGAAATTGCCAGAAAGAGTGTGCATAGTGCCAATCAGAAAATTCAGGATGCTCATGATAAGCTCTACCTCTCGGGTGGAGTGGATAAGGAGTATTGGATACGATGATACTGATGAGTCCCACTGTGCTGAGCACATTGAGTCACATCCTTTTGCTGTTGCCCACAACCTGACTTAGCAGCTCCAGACCACATGCCATACCCTTCTGCCCAACATCAACGGATTGCCACAGAACATCTAAGGTCAGGCCAAGCACATGGGGGTGATGGCAGGTGACATCTACTCAGTGTTCCACAATACTGCCTCCTTTAAGGAAGTGTCTGACAGCCTCCTCGGAATCTTTAAATGACTTGATGGGTTATCTTGTTAATGACATGCCCCTCTACTGGCTGGTAGGTCCCTTTTACCCTCAGCTGACTGAGTCTCAGAATGCTTAGGACCAAGGTGTGGAGATGGACAAGAGCAGCTAGGAGGCTCAGTGATCTGAGCACAAAACTAATTAAACCTGCCCCTGTCACCAGCGCATGATGTGGCCAGCCAGTTAACACCTTTTGTTATGTTGAAATTAACCTGTAGGCAACCCTAAATTGGGAAGCAAGTAGCTAGTAAAAAGGTCCTCAATTATAGTTATTTCCAACTGGATTAAGAGCTTTAAAGTTTCTGGCATTAGCAGATGATTTCTGTTCACCTGGTAAGAAAAGAATGCTAGGCTTGTTAGAGCCTAGCCAGAACTCACAAAAAATTCGAGTGCACTTATGTTCTCATTCTGTGGCCATTGTGTTACTCTCTGTTACCATTTGTGTTGAACAAAAACATCTTCATGCGGGCTGGGTGTCTGCTCTGGTATGATTTGAGCAGGACTCTTTACTGATTTATCTCATGATTGCTTGTACAACTTGATTTTAGTTTTTTATTTCTCAAATAGGAATACTACCTTTGAATTCAATATAATTCACTGTAAGATTTAACAACAAAAAGTGGACCAAGGACCTGAATAGACATTCTCCAAAGAAGACATAAAAGTGGCCAAGTATATATGAAAAATTGCTCAACATTGCTAATCATCAGAGAAGTACACATCAAAACCACACAATGAAATATCATCACCTCACACCTGTCAATGTCAAGATGGCTATTTTTTTTTAATTGACAAGGGAGTGAAGAAATTGAAACCCTTGCACACTGTTGGTGGGAATGCAAAATGGTGCAAGAAGCCACTATGGAAAACATGGAGGTTCCTTGACATATTAAATACAGAACTACCAGATGGTCCAGCAATCATGCTTCTAGATTTCCAAAATAATCAGGATCCCTAAGAGATATTAGCACTCCCACATGTGACAACATGGATGAAGCTTGAGGACATTATGCTAAGGGAAATAAGACAGTCACAGAAAGACAAATAACTGTGTGAGTCTACTTATGTGAGGTATCTAAAGTAGTCAGATTCATAGGTTGACAGTTAAATGGTGGTTGCCAAAGGCTGAGGGGGAGGAGAAATTGGGGAGTTGCTAAACAATGTGTGTAAAATTAATGTCAAGCAGGAGGAAAAAGCTCTAGAGATCTGCCATACAACACTGTATCTATAGTCAACATTAATCAACATTAATGTATTGTACACTTGAAAATTTAAGAGGGTAGATCTTGTGTTAAGTGTTCTTATCACAATAAAACGAATTTTTTTTTTTTTTGAGATGGAATCTTGCTCTGTCACCCAGGCTGTAGTGTAGTGTAGTGGCGCGTTCCTGGTTCACTGCAACCTCCGCCTCCCGGATTCAAGCGATTCTCCTGCTGCAGCTTCCTGAGTAGCTGGGATTATAGGCACATGCCACCACGCCTGGCTAATTTTTGTTATGTTGAAATTAACCTGCTAGGCAACCCTAAATTGCCTAAATTGCTGGAGTTCAAGACCAACATAGGCAACATGGTGAAACCCCACCTCTGCTAAAAATGTAAAACATTAGCTGGGTGAGGTGGCACATGTCTGTAATCCCAGCTACTCAGGAGGCTGAGGCAGGGGAATCGCTTGAACCCGGGAGGTGGAGGTTGCAGTGAGCTGAGATCACACCATTACATTCCAGCCTGGGCGGCAGAATGAGACTCCATCTCAAAAAAAAAAAAAAAAAGGATTAAATAAAAACATTTTGGAAAAAAAAGAAAAAATACTTTGGAGGAGACATTTGAAAAAGAATCAAATAGAAAATCTAGAAATGCTAAAGAATATTTTGTAAATATTTTGTTTTGTTTTGTCTTTGAGACAGAGTCTTGCTCTGTTGCCCAGGCTGGAGTGCAGTGGCATGATCTTAGCGCTCTGCCCTCTCCACCTCCTGGGTGCAGCCTCTGGAGTAGCCGGGACTACAGGGATGCGCCACCATGTCCAGCTAATTTTTTTTTTTTTTGTAGAGATGGGGTTTTGCCATGTCTCCCAGGTTGGTCTTGAACTTCTGGACTGAAGCCATCCACCTGCCTCAGCATAGCCAAAGTGCTGAGATTACAGGCATGAGCCTGTAATCAAGAATGTGGTCTTTTATCAGCACATATTTTATCTAGTAAATATTGTAGGCCAGGCACTGAATAAAATAGAAACCTCTCCTAAGGAGTGCTTACATTTTATTGAATGGGAAATAGATGAACAAATAGAATATGTCAGATGATAATAATTACTGTGAAGGAGAGTAACATGTCTGGTGCCTGGGCTGAAATGACTCAAAAAGCAGAGGAGTGCCAACTCGGTGTCTATTGTGGTCTCTCCCTGAGGCTTGGCTTTTTTCACAGCATGGCAGCCTTGGGGTAGTGAAACTTCTTAGTAGCTCAGGGCTCCAGATTTGAGTATTTCAGTAAATAAGAGAGAAGCTGCATTGTTTTTTACAACTCAGTTGCAGAAATCGCACAGCAACTGGTTGAAACAGTCAGACCCCATCCCCCAACTCCCAGCCAGATTCAAGAGAAGAGAAGAAGACATAGACTCTGCCTCTTGAGGTGAGGAGTCAGGCTTTTTTTGTTTGTTTTTGAGATGGAGTCTTGCTCTGTTGTCCAGGCTGGAGTGCAGTGGTGCGATCTCAACTCACTGCAGCCTCTGCCTCCCGGGTTCAAGCTATTCTCCTGCAGCCTCCTGAGTAGTTGGGATCACAGGCGGCCACCACCATACTGCCTAATTTTTATATTTTTAGTAGAGACAGGGTTTCATTATGTTGGCCAGGCTGGTCTTGAACTCCTGACCTCAGGTGATCCACCCACGTCAGCCTCCCAAAGTGCTGGGATTACAGGCATGAGCCCCCGTGCCTGGGCCTGATTTGAGGAGTTTTGAAGAATTTTAGGGCGACAGTGTTTTTAAACTGCAACAGATGCCATTTAAGCATTTTGAGCGAAGGAGTATTATAATCTTAAATTTTAGAAAGATCACTGTGATTTCTCTATCGGACATAGACTGAAAGCAGAGTAACAGTAGAAACAGAGTTAAAAAGAATTACTGGTAAAACCCATCTCTACTAAAAGTGCAAAAATTGGCTGGGCATGGTGGTGCATGCCTGTAATCCCAGCTACTTGGGAGGCTGAGGCAGGAGAATCGCTTGAAACCGGAAGGCGGAGGTTGCAGTGAGCCAAGATCGTGCCACTGCACTGCAGCCTGGGTGATGTCTCAAACAAAGGAAAAAAAAAATCAAATTTAAAATACATTTGGAAGGTGATGCTGATAGCGTTTACAGATAGAATGCATGCGGATATGAGAAAGAGGAACTAAGAATGACTCCAAGTGTTTAGTTTGAATGGTGGTGTCATTTGCTAAGATGTGTAACAATAGGGGAAGAAACAGTTTTGGACATAAGATTATAAAATGCTTGTTAGATATCTGCTATCGTTTGAATGTTTGTCCCTCCAAAATTCATGTTGAAATTTAATTGACATTGTAATAATATTAAGAAGTGGGACCTTTAAGAAGTGATTAAGTTGTTAGGGCTTTACCCTCATGGGTGGGATTAATGTTATAGAAGGGCACCTTCTCTTTGCCCATCTGCTGTGTTATTAGACAGCAAGAAGGTCTTCACCACATGCCAGCATCTTGATGTTAGGCTTCCCAACTTCTGGAACTGTATGCCAATAAATAGCCAATAAACTTCTGGTCTTTATAAAGTACCGAAAGCTGGGTACAGTGACATACACCCATAGCCCCAGCTACCTGGGATGCTAAGGTAGGAGGATCATTTGAGCTCAAGGAATTTGGCAACATGAAGAGACTCCATCTCTAAACAAAACAGAACACACATACCCACACACCCCTATGTAAATTACCCAGTCTGTAGGGGGTTTTTTGTTTGTTTTTTGTTTTGTTTTGAGATGAGTCTTGCTGTTGCCCAGGCCAGAGTGCAGTGGCGTGATCTTGGTTCACTGCAACCTCTGCCTCCCGGGTTCAAGCAATGCTATGCCTCAGCCTTCTGAGTAGCTGGGATTACAGGCACCCACCACCACACCTGGCTAGTTTTTTTGTATTTTTAGTAGGGACAGGGTTTCACCATCTTGCCAGGCTGGTCTTGAAATCCTGACGTCATGATCCCCCTGCCTCAGCCTTCCAAAGTACTTGGATTACAGGCATTAGCCACCACACAAAATGGACTAAGACAACATCCAAATGGAGATGTTAGTTAGGTAATTGACTACATAAAGAGAGTTTTGGAGGAGAATGACAGCTAGGAATATCAATTTGAGAATTAGTATATAAATGCTATTTAAAACCATGGGAACACTCCATTTTTACAGTTAGAAGATAGAAAGATGAATAAAAACTAATGAAGAAGACTAAGAATAAAGGATCATGAGTGTAGAATAAGACCCAGAGATGTGAAGTCCCGAAAGCCAAGTGAAGAAAGCAGTTCAAGAAGGAAGGAAGATTGAATTGATAAAATGCTGCTGAAAGTTCAAATAAGGATTGATAAATACATAATTATTGGACTTGGCAACATGAAGGTAATTAGTGACCTGGAAAAAATAATCTATTTAAATTGAGGGAATAAAACCTGAACTGAAGTGGTTTTAAGCCAGAAGAAAGAGACAACAAGTATAAGTAACTCTTGAGGAATTTTGCTGTAGAAGGGTTCAGGAACATGGGTCGGTGACTGGAATACGACAGGAAGTCATGGGAAGAATTTTCTAAGGTGTAAGAAATACTGTACCAAGTTGGTATGGTGATGGGGTGATTCTCAACACTGGCTAAATAATAGAACTAACTGGGGAATTTGTTAAAGGATAGCTGCATGAGTTCAATGGCAGACTGATTAAATCAGAATTGGACTGTGGTATCAGTATGTTTGTTTGTTTTCCAGTTATTTAGATGATTCTAATATGCATCCAAAGTTGATCTGCTTTGAAGTAGATCAGTAAAATTAACTCGTTATATAAACAGTATATCCAACACAGTTGAAAATTAGGAACAATAGAAATTACACAGAATGCAGCATAGGAATATTAAAAACGGAAAATACGAAAAAAGAGATGAGACATGAAGACTAGAGTGAGATGGTCCAAGATATATCTCATGGGAGTTCTAAGGTAGGGTAGAGAAAATGGAGAGTAGCAACATTCAAAGAGATAATAGCAGAAAATTTCACATAATTTCTAAGTATGAATCTTCAAGGAAAAAAAAATAGTGAATCCTGAAAGAATAACACTAAAGACAAAGATCTTACGAAAGCAGCCAAATAGATTACTGCAAAGGAATGAAAATTAGACTCAGGCCAGGCTCTGTGATTCATGCCTGTAATCTCAGTGCTTTGGGAGGCCTAAAGAGGAGGATCACTTGAGTTCAGGAGTGATGCTGCAGTAAGCTATAATTTTACCAGTGCACTTCAGGCCAGGTGACAGAGGGAGACTCCATCTCAAAAAGATGTGGTCTTTCTTAGTTATCCACAGAAGTGTGTCTAGTTACTCAGCTGTAAGCATTCTGAGGTCAGGGACTAAATACAACAATTAAGTACAATGTTGCAAAAACACTGACATTAAAAATAGAAGTTCCAGGCCAGGCACAGTGGGTCACACCTGTAATCCCATCTGTGATCCCAGCACTTTGGGAG